ACATTTAGTCTTTTGTGGTTAAAAAAGGGATTACAACGTGTTATTAATATACTGATCAGGCAGCATTTATGGGCCGATAACAATAGCACTTATGGTATATAGTTTGGCGATCAGACGCGCGCTTGTCAAAAAACATCTTTGAATTAAAAAAAAACCATCTAGGACAGATTAAGAAAAGAAAAAAAAGATCAGCGTTTCCTGTATAAGTAATGTGTTATCACCAGCTGTTATTTACGTATATGAATATCGAGTATATTGAAGCATATTATTACACAAATTGTATCTAGTTGGTACTATGGGGAGGGGCGGAGGGTAAAAGTAGAAAAAGTTTACTTCTTCATAGTTTGAAAAAACAAAAAAAAACCATACGAGTTTTTACGTTAGAACTTTTACTGGCTATAATTTCAAGAAAACGAGTCGGGTCGAGTTGAAATTTATAAGGAATATTCATTTAGTATGCCCGCACCCGACAATTGTATCAAATTTAAATTATACCTATTTCCTGCCCCCTAGAAGGAAAGTGCAATTTTTTTTGTTTTTGTGGGTTTCTTAGCAGTAATTTTAAGACCCTCAAGTTGAAAATTTGTTAGTAGTTAGAACTCGTATGTATCCATAACATATTAAACGGAAAAAAAATTCGGCACTACAATTTTTCTTTAATTGTCGGAAAACGGTGTTTTTCGCAGAATTATTCGTATAGTTTAACAAAAACACCTATAAACTTAAAAAAGTTTTATCAAATCATTACAATTTTATGTAGATTTATGCAGAATTATACTATTAAGTTTTAATACTCAAGTACCCCTTTTAGCTTTTACTTGGGCGTTTATTTTTTTTAGGCTGAGTGAAATTTAAAACTTATATTAAATTCGCAATCACCGACCCCCAAAAACATATAATTTAACCACATTTGAAGTGTTTTACACAAAAATCCAGAAAAATGCGGTGAGAAACGAAAAAAATAGTGTTATTTCGTTCTGTTGGCATCATCGTGTTCACGAACGACATTTTGTTGCTCGCTCTTATCTGCTCCGAAATGTAATCAGTTGATACATCATAGATTGTTTCAAATATTATTTTTAAATCTCGTTTAATAAAAACAATTCTGGTTGTAACTTGTATTGCAGAGTAAAACGTTTAAGACGTAGTTTGATGATTACATTATTAATTTTTATTAATTTAATAAAAACAAATTTGTCGACACAACATAATTAACTGAATATAGATTTTATTAAGTCACAGTTGACTGTTAATCTAAAGTCGTTTTGAACGGAACTCTACTTTTTGCGGATTCGACTGAATTTAATTTAAGTAACTCCAAATTATTGGCAGTCATTTCGTGATAAATGATAACACGAGTTGATTATACTATAGTTTTTCTAATTATCAATTTGCAAGACAGAAGAATCTTCGATCGTGACCATATTGTAAATTACGTATATCGATTTTTGCAAAAAAAAAAAACCAGTACAATGAGGTCGGGGCATAGTGGGGACGGAGTATGGTAGTCTTGGGGCTTAGTGGGGACGGGGAGGTAACAAGTTTACAGGAATTTTTAAATCCGAAAGTGATAAAATCACTTTCGAATAAACGCTTCGATGCAAATAAGTAGTTGGTATTTTCAAGCCAGTACAGTCCGAACCAAGCACAGTGTAAACCAGCAAAGTTAGAAAGTATTAAATTGAGGTGCTATATTTACAAATATAATATATCAAAGCGTTTATTTGAAAGTGATTTTATTCAATTTCATCACTTTTATTTTTAATAATTTTAGTAGACCTGTGACCTGGTTTTTTGTATTTCAAATCAGTTTTACAATATCGACATAGAAATCCAAGTGCGTACGATAGAATTTTATTTTTTTAGAAATTATAACGAGAAACGTACGCCTCGAACTTTCGGATGATATTGAAAAATATGTATACGTATCAATTTAACGTAAGACGCTCATTATCTCGGATAATAATTAAAATGTTATAGGATTTTGTTCATCGACCAGTCAAAAATGTCAGCAAATTATTTTCCTTTCAAAAAGTTAATTATACACAAATTTATTGTAAGTCTGAGCGGCAGGCAACAGCGGGTAAATGTGGTAGAGGAAAATGAGGTTAATGTTTAAACACAGTTGTTAAGAAAAAAACACGTTAAACTTTATTGTAAATAATTGACCAATATTACAATTAAAAAGGTCTCGCGGTAATCCGAGAACGACGTCGACGCGACTGACGACCGGGTAAATCCTAATATTGTTTGGTAACGTATCGGGAGGAAAGAACCTCTAAATATATATATATATATATATAACATTACTTTATCAAATACAATCTAATTTGCCTAAGTACAATTCCTTACCTATGCTCCTTGGTATGTAACGAACAAAAACCTCTACAAAGACTTGAAACTACCAACCATTCAACGAACTGGCCAAAGAATAAAAAGGCAATGGCCCAGGGACCTGCTAAAAGCATAAAATCTTAATTATTCTTGTCAGGTGGCACTGCATAGGAAAGCCTTCCTATTCTAACATTAATGTCACTTTGCCATTGCCACCAGACTTACTTATCATACATATTATTCTGTATAAATTGTAAATAATTTAAATTTTCAATAACAAATTAAAACCTCTCAGCGGACGCGCTGTTAATAATTATAATATTGTTTGTACTTATTATTTTTTTTTCTTAGATCGGTATCCTTGTACAATATGTTTTGTGTGTACCTACAGGTAACATTATATTGCTTTCATTAATTGCTGTATTTTATCACAGTGTACTGTAGCTGATCATAAGGAGTAAAATGTTATAAGTTCTGTTAAATTAACGTGTAAGGCACAGTGTGGGTAAATACATTAATATTTGATAGAAATCAACCGGATGCGCGATTATGGGCTTTATATTTAGTATTGTTGTAAATAATTATTAGTTGTACAACACGCGACGCGCGTGATGATGTTATCGCAAAATGGGCGCCCGCTGGAAAGGCAAATCGAGCGCTGTATGCGCTCTCCGTGTCTTTATAATATATTCTCTGCGGGCAGATCGTACCTACCCCGGATGAAAAGTCGTCTGAGGCCATTATTGATCATTTTCTGGCCAAGACGCTCTGACCTGGCAAAGGTGCGCAGAAATGTAATTGTATAGGCGAAATCTGTGCAGAGCGCTCCGTGCGTCATTGTTAAATAATCAATAGAAAGCAAACAAAGTGTATGTGCTTGACGCCCCGGTTAGGGCTTTTCAGTGTAGAGGCTGTACGTGTGGCGTTTGCTTCTGTCTCGTCGAATCGCTCTTCGGTCTTGGGCTGCTCTCGGTCTCGGTCTCGGTCTTGGTCGTTGGACAATCGATATTGATCACACAAGTATTGCCGACAAACAATAGAACAACTTTATAGTCACGCTAACCAACTGCTACCTGTGGAATAATATTCTACAGGTAGGTAGGTAGGTACCTACCTACTGCCGCGTAGGTAAGTATTCATTTTTTTTTTTTTACAATAATTACTCATTACAATATCGAAAATAATACACAACGTAAACGCAACTAAAACTACATTTTAGGGGGTCCTAACTGACTATGTATACCTGAGCAAACATAATTCTTATCTTCAGATTATTTTTTAAAATAATATATATCTGAAAACAAAACTATTGTAAAATAATAACAATTTGAACAGAGTATCGAGTACGTTATTGAAAAGTGTTGCGTAAAAAACCGAGGAATGGAGTTTGAATTTTTTGTGGGGTGCTATTTAGAGTCTGGGCATGATTAAGTAGCTATATAGCACCCCCCCCTCCCCCTAGTTGCGCTTACGGTCCGTGTACGCGTTTTTTCCCCCATTTTAATTGTATTTTCAATACGAATAATTTAACAATAATAATATTGCGATTTTTTAATTTAATTTTTCGTAGTCTACCGTTTCATATAATAAACGTTTGTTGGTATTTTAAGGGCGGTCTACCGGGCGTTTGCCGTACCATACCGCGTACCGTTTCACAGAGTGGAAAACATCAGGAGTACAGAACAATAATCGTATGTGTATTTTTTTTTTTTAGTTATTTATCCTATTTCATTATTATCGGGGATGTATCCGGGGCGTTGCCGTTGCAATTACAAACAATTTTCCCAAGCCCTGCAACGGAAAACCGATTTAAAGCTCCGCGCAGCTTTTGGATTTTATTTCCGAATTACATGTTATTATAATGTTAGTGATTTACTAGTAGAAAACTAGTAGATCTTCAGTAGAAAATTAAAAACAATTCTATTTCAACGGGGCACAGATGCTCCTCAGCGCTGCTCTGCGCCTTCCTTAATTCCTCTACGTTGGCTCACAGAACTAAAGATTCACCTTTGGTCTGTTTTGTAAGCCCAAAAACGACTACGCCTAAAATAGGGAAATGAAAAAGTCACTACCCTTTCCGGGGAAAAGGGTTTATGATGTTTTTTCGGTTTGTTTATCAACGTTTAAAGATAGCGTACAGTGTAATAAGAATGGTATCAAGAATATTTCATACAAATTTGGGACTACTTCGTCTGTTATTTAAAACTTATTGTTATACAGTTATAACTAACCGGATGTTATTGAGGTATATAATATATTAAGATATATATGGTCGAATATATGTAAACTTTTTATTAGCGTTTTTCTCGGCGTAGAAGGTAAATGGATGGCCGAACTTTTGAAACTATTTTCCCCATCAAACAACCTTTCGTGTACGATTAATTCTGATCTATAGAATTGTTATACGAAAAAATTTCGTAAGGATAGTTGATAAGATTTCTGGTGATCTATATGCTATCGGAAATCATGTTTTTGTCGAGGCCTTGCGAGAGTTGTACATTTTTTTCCCCTTAAGGATTTGAGGATAATACTTTCACTGCATAAACACTCGTAGTAGAAATTACAAACACTAACAATAAGTAATTGTTAAATTACTGAAATAGAAATGAAACTGAAATCGAATTGTTAAGTAATTGTTGTAATTATATTTAAGGCTACCCGACGTAATGGACGCCCAGGAAATGGATACTATGGAGGAGCCTCCGACATTGGATGAGATTTACGACGCTATCTCCGTGATAAACAACAAAGGAAGTAGCACTAATAAGTTGCAGGCTGCTTCGCAATTGCTCGAAAATGTGCAGAAATCGGCAAGTGCCGTTACGAACTCCTCGTTGTTAGCTCGGTACCGGTTGTTTGACGATTGATGTTTTTTCCCAATGTTTTAGAATTTCGCTTGGAAGGTCGCCGAAGAGTTGATATCACGAAAAATCAACCACGGTTCGTGTTTCTTTGCGGCGCAAACGATCCAATCAAAACTGATAAACGAAACTAACGAGATACCGCCAGAGTCTCTTAAAGCGGTACGAAGTTCTCTTTATGGTTATCTAGCAACGCTCGACGTCAACAACGACGATGACCGCGTAATTTCGATCCAAGTAAGATATGTCGAAACAACTACTCGGCTAGTTTTAGTTTTGCTATTTAATAGTTGTAATAGGAAATTCAGGAGAAAAATAAGCGTTTGCGTTGATAGCTTACTAATTGAAATAATTATTGCCCATGCGAAAATATTCCACTATAACACCGCACAAGTGAATGTTTTGTGCGGTGTTATAATTAGTATAAGTTGAACAGATATTTCGGTTAGTGTTTACACAAAAGACTATAAAACACGTCATTATTTTTTTTATTTACTAGGTACAACAAAATATAATATTATGTTATTATAATTTCATTTTTTTTTCTTTAAACAACTCGAATAATTCAAATTTTTGTACTATATAAGATCGTATAGGCGAATTGGGGACGACATTTATGACCATGGACGGGAGAAGGGAGATTTATGTATTTACATTAATGTTGGTAACGATGTTAAACAATTAAAATTTATTGTCATTGATCAAAACTAATTTCACCGTTCATTTTTTATCGTATCCGCCCAAATTTATCCAATGTCTTTTTCATGTTCACACGTAAAGGCGATTCTGTATGCGGTCTATTTTTTTTTTACGTTTTAAACCAAAAAGCCAGACAGCATTTTAAGGGTGGTCCGATATAAATATTCTGTAAATACAAATATACGAGTTCTTTGGCAACTTTACCAGGTTATGAAGGAAACAATTCATTTATGATTTTTTTGCTTTTGTTAATCAAAAAAAAAAATTGGGTTTTAATATTGAAAAAATTGAAAATTAACTTTAATCAATTACAAGCAGCTGACATTTTTTTAAAATAAATATCGGCTTTCTACATAACGTCATAATAAAGTAGCCAAACAAGTCGAATATCTTTACAGAATTGAAATTGGACCATCCAATTGATAGTGGACATTTTGTCTGGCTTTTGGATCTAAAATACGGCTTAAATGGCTTTTTTTACTCATGGAACAAAATAATATTATTTAAATTACAAATAATATCTCGAAGCTCTTATACAAATTAACCGGTCAATCATTTGACATGGTCGAAGTTTATTAAAACCAATTTATTTTTAATTAAACATTGCCTATAAAAAACTCCTTAAAAACCGACCGCATACAATTCCCTTGAAAGAAATGTACTCCACACGTGTATAGGTATTTGTATTTTATTTATTGTCGCTGTGTAACGATCACCGACATGGGACTACACGAATCGGTGGAAGGGAGGGTGTGAGCGGTAAATCCTCCTCTCAAAAACCTCACGTTGAACATTTTTTTTGGGTGGCAAATTTGACGACCCCACGCCTATGAGCGTAACGTTCGAATAAAATGGTGTTTCATTTCCTTTCGATTGTATTAACCGGTTAAAGAGAACAAAATGTATTTATAGTGTTTATTATCGGGGGGTAATGTCAATCACATGTTAATTGTTTGCATCATAAGTGTGATTGTTTTTTTAGCTATGCGTCGCGTTGGCTCGTGTCATTATCGAATTGGGATCGTGGTCGACCGCGACCGCCGAAGTCGTATCGAGATACGAAACAATGACCACGGTATTCCTTGTCGAGTTGCTGTCCGTGTTGTCCGAAGAAGTGCATACCCGGAGCATGCGCATAGCAGTCCACCGGTGCATGCCGCTATACACGGAATTCGTTCGGAACGTGCCGATCGTCAACGAATTTCTGGAAATGTGTCTCAAGACCGAGCCCAACGACGAACGGTTGAAAAAGGTTTCTTACAAATGTTTCGCAAACTGGTTGAACATCGATTGCGTGTACTCGTCGACGGTGTGGAACAGCGCCGTACTGGTCGAGGTGTTCAACATGTTGTACACCAACAATGTAATTGATGATGATTAATAATCAAAGAATTAACTTGCACTATTATCACAGAATTATAACAGAAGGGAATCTCAGAGCCATTCCAAAAAACCGGTCAGACATATTGACAAACGGGCAGTGACGCCAGAGCGCAGATATTTCCTTGTTTTAAAAATGTCTGCGCTACTTATGACTACACTGTTAATTTATTGAACTTCGTACAACAATGTCATCTCCATTTCTCGCGTTTGTCCGCAGTGTGAACAGTTTAGTCAGAATGAACGAAAAATGAGAATTTCCCTTCACCCCTATCAGCGCACTGCCCGTTTCTCGATCATATTCAACATGTCGGACACGATATTTTTATCTCGTCCCATAGAAGCCCATGTAAAAATTGAATAGTTTCCTTGCTGTTTGTTCTGTGGTATTATACTTTTGTGTGAAAAACACGATTGCTTCCCCATTCCATTTAGTGTTCGCTCGAGATCCACGGAATTGCCGCCGACACGGTAATCGCATTTATCAGTACGCTGACCTACAACTTCCACGATCAAGCGGAATTGCATGTCGAAGTTTTGTCTTCGATTAAAAAATTCGAGAAAGCGTACGCGGAGTGTGTGACCAACGACGATACGGAAAGGTAAACGGGGATAAGTACACAGTATGCATTTTTTTAAGCAGCCAAGTGTACCTACGTATTGTAGTAACACAAAACCATATGTTGGACAATACGATAATCGGTTGTTTGTTTTAGATGCAAAAACTACAGTAGAATCTTTACGGATTTGGCCGAAGTGTTGAACGTCACGGCGATACTGAAAACCATCGAAGACAATTTCGAACCACATTACGCAATCAAAACGTTCGACTCAGTACTCTTGTGTTCAAACAGCGATAAATTCGAGGCAAAGATATTGTTTTTATTATTATAAGAGTTTAATGAATATGCGAAAACCACTGCCTACTAGAGCTGTTGTTTATTAAATTCAATAGACGTATATTGAACATACGTTAAACGACGCCACGCACTCGCAGTTGGCAACCCTGCGCGTTGTACGCGAATCTAAAACAGGAATATAAAAACAAAAAATGTTTACAAGCCAAAATTTACACTATAATTTTTTTTTTTTATAACCACAACGAACGTTGATTACAATAATTATCCACAATATAAGTAGTCAGATAACTTTGTATTTTTTAACCTAATTTTTTTTATGTTTTTTACAAGTTCATACGTGTATTTTAAAGTATGATGCCTTTTGGAACTTTACAGACGTTCTTACGAAACTATATAGGACTTATACTTTATTCTATATCGTTGCAGAAAGGCATAACTCAACATTGAAAATGCTTTTTATTAACTAATTTTTTTCACGAGTTCAAAATCGGTTGGGCCGTCTTGAGGCCTATTATGGCCATATTATGTTTAATTTATCGAAATCTCGTATAGAATCTCGTAAATTAAAAAAAAAAAATAATATTAAAAATGATCAAAAATTTAACATAATAAATTAAGTATGTTTTTATTTTTAGGTCGCACAAGTAACTTTCCACGTTTGGTCAATATTGGCCGAAGAGTTGAACCTCAGACGCCACCCTCAGTTAACCGAATTGTACAAACATTATTTCGATAACTTGCTCCCTGCGCTGTACAAGCATTGCGTGATCGACATCCAGACAGTATGATGATTAATGACAAATAATATTATTATATTACAAAGCCGATTGCGTAGCTATGATGATAATAATAATAATAATAATAATAATGATTTTCTAGGTGAATCTGTCGGAGGACAAAGACGACGATATCGCCGAAATTAGAAAGGCGTGTTCGAGCGTGATCAAAGACATAAGCGTTGTCGGCAGTACGTCGTATGTGTTCAATGAAATGTACCGAAAATTGCAAATGGAAACGACCACCGACGAAGCGTGGAACCAAAAGGAAGCTGCGCTGTTCGTCATGCAGGCTGCAGCCAAAAATTTATCACCGTAATAATAGTGTCAAATAACAACAATAAGTCGACAAGATTTCTCGATTTGGTTTATATTTCTGTGTTTTTCTGTAGATACGAAAATGACGTGATGCCCAAAGTGGTCCAGGCTATAATAAACATGCCGGACACGGTTCACATAAACATAAGGTACACGTCGGTGAGGCTTTTGGGAGAACTCGGCAATTGGATCGCGCACGGACCTCAGACCAGATATTTGGGTAATTGTTTGGCCCCGACGATTTTACCGACCGACCGATCATTAAACCATAGCGACATTTGCCAACTTTTTTTTTTTTTGTCTTGTCCAGAGCCGGTATTGAATTACCTACGGTACAGCATACAACAAGAAAGTCTGGCCACTGTAATTGCCCAAACTATGCACAACATATGCGACAGTTGTCGTCTGCCCATGGTGCGCTACATCAACGGTGTCGTTGAAATGTTGGGCATAGTGGACGGCTTGGGTTTGTCGAACGACGTATCGATTGGACTGTTGAAAGGTATTAGTTATCGTATAAGTGTATACGATATTTTGTATTTTATTCTCGAATACACCTACGACTATTATAGCGATTGTGACGTTTGTTTATTTTTCAAAAGGCTTGGCTTATGTTGTTTCCGAAATACCCGATGCGCATCGTTACAATTCAGTGAAAACCCTATGCTGGAGACAACTCAGTCCATTGCTAGCTTTGGCCGAGGAGGTTTGTCTTTTTTTTTTTTTTGAAACGATAATTGCTTTTCGTTCAAAGTGAAATAAAATCGTTTCATTTTCTTTTCTAAAATTGTTGTACATCATACGAGTGTATATGATATAAAATTTGTATTGACAGGTTGACCCGCCGGCAAACCCTGTTGCCAACACTCCGGCCGATCCTGTTTTTTGGATCCAGAGACTTTTGGCCGTTTTGAGATGCTTGCACGTCAAGAGGCACCGCAATAACGATCCATGCGTAGTCGCTGTTGTGGAGGTTGTAAAATATTATATTTATAACAATGCGATACACCATAATTATTATGGCGATTTTCGAGTTTCTAAAAAAAAATATTTATCTCGATATATTTGTTGTCGATTAGATGTGGCCGTTCGTGTCGAACATATCCGAAAGATACAAAACCAAGGCTCGGATAACGGAATACATTTGTCGCTGTATTAAGCGCATGACCGGATTGGTGAGCCGTGCAACCATAACACTCCTGGAGCCGGTCGTTACACAAGTAAAAGAGCGGCAGCACGACTTAAACACAATAATATTATCACATCATTTACCTACCTGCCTACCTACATATTGTATTGTTTGAAAAAAAAAAAACAAAAACAAATATATTTTTCGTTTGCAGTTGTCCAATTTGCACAAGGAACACATGCACGTTTGTTATTTGTACATTGCGTCGAATTTGGTGGAGGATTACGCCGAGTCGTTCCAAAACGAGGTGCTGGAGGCAGAGTGCCATTTGATTCTGTTGAAAATGATCAATTCGTTTCACGAACCGGCAATCCAGTTGATGAGACAAGAGGGCGGTCTGCAAAATCACCCGGACTTTATCGTCGGGTTTTTCCGGATGGCCAACAGGTTCGCGCACAGACCACACGTTTTCATAATTACTCTTGTTATATTGTACTATATTTTACTGTTCACGCGTTATTAACGTAATTGTAATAATTGTACTGCAAAATGTTGTGTATACTTACGCGCACGAATCGTTGGGTTTTTAGGGTCGTCGGCAAGCTTCCCCAAGCGTTTTTGCGGTCGGCCGAACTGGAAATCGTCGTCAAATGTGGTGTGGCGACGTTGTCGGTCCATCACAAATACGCCAACACCGCGGTAGTCAAATTCTTGGTAGACTTGTTCGCCGCCGGCAATCCCAGACGAGTAAATTGCCGCACAGTAAATAGCAGCGCAAAAAACCACCACGGAATAAACACACAAGGCATTTTCAATAGAGCTGTCGAACAGTTTCGTAGAGCACAAATGGTGTCAGACGTATTCACGTAACACAGCCAGTGATGCGCCAGAATATGTGCCTTATTTTTTCCCCCGTCATTTATGGCTGCACTGTCGTCGACCATTTTCCGCATATTTGTTTAACAGTTTAGCCGGGACAAACGGAAAAAAATTTCCCTACACTAGCATTGCACGGGGGCCATTTCTCGGAAATTTTCAAAATGTCGGACATGATATTTTTATCTAGGACCACCCGTATATTGGATAGTTTCTTTTCTGTGTTTATTCTGTGTGTGTAATACAACCAAGTCTTAAACGACTTGGACTATTGTGATTGTATGACGGTTTGGGTGACTATTTTTTTTATTCCCGCAGGTAGACATCGAGCTGGACGTAGCGGCCAGGAACAACATAATGGCAATGTTCTACGCGGTCGGCGAACAGTTGATAGAAGGCTTATTGAATATGGCCCTGTACAACCCACACGAACGCCTTTTGCCGGAATTAATGGAAATCATCATGGAGCTTTTTTGCTACGATGGTGAAGTAAGGAATTGCGTCGACAAGACGTTGTAGTTGTTGTTGTTGCTGTGTTGTAATTATTATCGATATTGAATAACATTTTTTTTTCCAGAAAGCAATGGATTGGCTTAGTAACGCCGTGGTAAATTTACCGGAAACACTTCCGGACGGTCGCCCGACGGCCGACGCCGAACAACGTTTGACTTTTTTGACTATCGTCTACAAGTAAGCAAAACCCGTTAAAATTGTGTTCACAAATTTAAAACACATTAAAAAAAAAAAATGTCGAAATTTGTTATAATTATTCAACGAATTTATCTATTAATAAGTAGTACAAGTATTAAGTAGTAGTATAAGTAACGTTGGCGCGTTATTTGCACAACAGCTGTCTAAATATTGTTACCGGAGAATCGGTTTTAGAGTATAAGAACAAAACAGAGCGGTAATTGTGAAAAAAAAAACGTTTAAGAATAATATATTTAAAAAACGAAACGTGCATGTAGATACAATTCCGGATGTTAGCCTGATAGTGCTACGCGTTAACCCAATTAAATGAATACAATTTTTTTTTTTAAAAGTTTTAAAATCTTAAAATAAATCTTTACAATAATTACACAAGAGATCAGTAATAAATATGATACATACAATATCTAGTGCAAATAGTGTAAAATAACAATTATTATCGAAATCACCGTAAATTCGATTTTGAACGAATAATATTATAATTGTTTCAATTATCAATCTTTTTACAATAAACATTTTTACTATTTATACATACCTATTATAATTTCGATACTCATTTTCAAATTGTTTTTGTACGTACAACAAGGCTTTTAATTTCAGCTAAGAAATGTATTTGGGTAGTTAGGCGAAAAAAAAAAATCTGATATTTGTGGTTTTCTTATTAGATAAGGGAAAACATTTGCGTGTCTTCTACATGAACACGCTCGTCAGTTGTAATAATATAATATATTAAATTATTATTAATGCAATAAAATCAATTATTATTAACAATATACGGTATAGAACAGAAAAACAAAATAGGTATTAAGTTCAATTCTATAGGATCTTAGACAGCGAAAATTTAAAAAAAAACGACCGTGTACATGTTTTTTATTTTATTTTATGGATTAACTCTAAACTATAGTGCCTAGGTACATTAAATAAGGAACTTTATTCCAAAAAATATATTTTTATAATATATTATATTATTAATTACCTATACATATTTTATTAGGTGAGATACTCGATCAAGAGATCTGAGATTTCACATCGTGTACAATATCAATGTAAAACTTTTTTTTTAATGAATGTATTTTTTTTTCTTTTTTAGACATGAACATCAGATATTCATGTGCCACGCATTGCGAGCATTCCGCGATTGTTTCCAGTAATCAATCAATAACGCGGTGCCATTGACATGCTTCTTATTCTCCATGGTTTAAAATAATATAATAATCATTTCGCTTGACTAGATATAGTATTTCGGGTTTTTTAACGTTTCATCGTGCTATCGAACAACGTATTATATTAATGCACCTATTGTATACCTACCCGCGTAGGCAATTTTCGACAATTAATTCTTGAAATTAAAAAATGACACTTCTTAGCCGTGTGTGTTTATTATAATATTATTACCTAGTAATAATATTAGATTAGGCAGTTTTGAAAGTATTCTACTTACTCAGTTTTAATTATATAAGCAAATATTTAATCATAACTTAAGCATAAATGTAATTTATAATAATATTTTAATGGTTTGACTACTTATACATTTTAAAGCAGTATATTTAATAGTGTTCTACTTTCTTATTTATTATTCTATAAACAAATATTTAATCATAATATGTGAACGCTTATATAAGAAATGTAATAGTATTCTACTTAGTCTTTCCTAGTTCTTTTAACAAATATTTACTCATAACTTAAATATACCTAGATTAGTATTTGAGAAATGCATTTTATTCCAAAGTTACACATTTTGTGATTTTACCAAACACATTTTTGTCTCTTTTATTAAAATAATCGAGTGTTATTTAAAATTTTGCACGTTTAACTACTTTTAAATTTTAACACAGTTTTAAAAGTATTCTGCTTACTTATTTCTTATTCTATAAACTAATATTTAATCATAATATGTGAACGCTTATATAAGAAATGTAATAGTATTCTACTTAGTCTTTCCTAGTTCTTTTAACAAATATTTACTCATAACTTCAATATACCTAGATTAGTATTTTAGAAATGCATTTTATTCCAAAGTTACACATTTTTTGATTTTACCAAAGACATTTTCGTCTCTTATATTAAAATAATCGAGTGTTATTTAAAATATTGCACGTTTAACTACTTTTAAATTTTAACACAGTTTTAAAAGTATTCTGCTCACTTATTTCTTATTTTTTAAACAATTATTTAATCATAATGTGTGAACGTTTATTTAAGAAATGTAATAGTATTCTACTTAGTGTTTTCTAGTTCTTTTAACAAATATTTACTCATAACTTAAATATACCTAGATTAGTATTTGAGAAATGCATTTTATTCCAAAAATACACATTTTGTGATTTTACCAAACACATTTTTGTCTCTTATATTAAAATAATCGAGTGTTACCTAAAATATTGCACGTTTAACTACTCTTAAATTTAAACGCAGTTTTAAAAGTATTCTGCTCACTTATTTTTAATATTCTTTAAACAATTATTTAATCATAATGCGTGAAGCTTATTTAAGAAATGCGTTATATTCCAAAGTTACACATTTAGTGATTTTACCAAAGACATTTTCGTCTCCTATATTAAAATAATCGAGTGTTCTGCTTAACTTATAAATTATTGCAATGTTTAACTACCAATACGTTTTAACGTAGTTTTAGAAGTACCATTCTGCTTTCTTATTTTTAATTATATAAACAAATATTTAATCATAACTTAAGTATAAAATATGTAATTTATAATAATATTGTAATGGTTTGACTACTTACACATTTTAAAGCACTTTCAATAGTATTCCACTTGGTCTTTTCTAGTTCTTTAAACAAATATTTACTTATACCTAACTTAAGTATAAATAGATAGGCATTTTAGAAATGCGTTTTATTCCAAAGTTACACATTTTGTGATTTTACCAAACACATTTTTGTCTCTTATATTAAAATAATCGAGTGTTACTTAAAATATTGCACGTTTAACTACTGTTAAATTTAAACGCAGTTTTAAAAGTATTCTGCTCACTTATTTCTTATTCTTTAAACAATTATTTAATCATTACTTAAGCATAAATGTAATTTATAATAATATTTTAATGGTTTGACTACTTAGGCATTTTAAAGCACTATTAATAGTGTTCTACTTACTTATTTCTTATTCTATAAACAAATATTTAATCATAATGTGTGAACGTTTATTTAAGAAATGCGTTATATTCCAAAGTTACGCATTTAGTGATTTTACCAAAGACATTTTCGTCTCTTATATTAAAATAATCGAGTGTTCTGCTTAACTAATAAATTATTGCAATGTTTAACTACCAATACGTTTTAACGTAGTTTAGAACAAATATTTAATCATAACTTAAGTATAAAATATGTAATTTATAATAATGTTGTAATGGTTTGACTACTTATACATTTTAAAGCACTATCAATAGTATTCCACTTGATCTTTTCTAGTTCTTTAAACAAATATTTACTTATACCTAACTTAAGTATAAATAGATAGGCATTTTAGAAATGCGTTTTATTCCAAAGTTACACATTTTGTGATTTTACCAAACACATTTTTGTCTCTTATATTAGAAATAATATCTAGTGTTTTATTTAATTTATAAATTACCTATTGTAATGTTTAACTACCCTTCCATTTTAACGCAATACTAAAAGTATTCTACTTAATTATTTCTAGTTCTCGGAGTGATCGTTTAATCTATCTTAACTATATAAATGTAGTTTATGAAATATTGTAATTTTTCGCTACTTATACATTTTAATGCATGTTAATTGTATATTATTCGTATAGCCCTTTTCGAGTTTTATAAACAAATAGTAAATAACAATTCAAGTATAAATGCATATTTTAGCATAACGCTTAAAGTAACTATTCTACTTACCTACTTAGTTTTAATTATATATAAAAAAAAAAAATTAATCTTACCTGGAGTACAAAATATGTAATTTATATACTACTTATACATTTTAAAGCAGTATTAATAATATTTCACTGTGATTTTACCCCAAAGACATATGTTTGTCTCTTATATTAAAATAATCGAGTGTTGTTTAAAATATTGTAATGTTGAACTATCCTTACATTTTAACGCAGTTTTAAAAGTATTTTACTTACTCAGTTTTAATTATATAAGCAAATATTTAATCATAACTTAAGCATAAATGTAATTTATAATAATATTTTAATGGTTTGACTACTTATACATTTTCAGTAGTATTAATAATATTCTACTTACTTATTTCTTAAACATATATTTAATTATAATTTAGGAACGCTTATTTACCAAAGACATTTTTATCCCTTATATTAAAATAATCTAGTGTTTTGTTTAATTTGTAAATTATCTATTGTAATGTTTAACTACCCTTCCATTTTAACGCAATACTAAAAGTATTCTACTTAATTATTTCTAGTTATCCAAGCGATCGTTTAATCTAACTTAACTATATAAATGTAATTTATGAAATATTGTAATGTTTCACTGCTTATACATTTTAAAGCATATTAGTTGTACATTCTACTTACTCTTTTCGAGTTCTATAAACAAATATTAAATAACAATATTCAAGTATAAACGTATATTTTAGCATAACGCTTAAAGTAACTATTGTACTTACCTACTTAGTTTTAATATTATAAAAAAAAAATTAATCATACTTGAAGTATAAAATATGTAATTTATAAAAATACTGTAATGGTTTGACTACTTATACATTATAGAGCAGTATAAATAATATTCCACTTACTTACTTCTTATTCTATAAACAAATATTTAATCATAATGCATGAACGCTTATTTAAAAAATGCCTTTTCTTCCAAAGTTACACTTTGTTATTTTATCGAAGACACACTTTTGTCTCTTGTACTAAAATAATCTAGTGTTTTTTTTTTATTTATAAAAACTGTAACGTTTGAAAACTTATAAATTGTAATTCACTAAAGTATTCTATTTACTTAGTTTTAAAATTAACGATCAACAAATAATTAATCATAACTACATTTGAATGCAGTATTCTCTAGTTTATCATCGATAAATTTATAATTTTTCTTATTATGTTCCACTACTTTTACACTTATTTCAAGTTCTACAAAAACAATAATTTTAACATAACTTAATAATTACCTGCAAATGCATTTATAAGAATTGAGTTTCATTATATAAATATGCATTTTGCCAAATACATATTCGACGCTTATTATTATAACATAATACATTATAACAACCGTGCAGTAATTATAAAATATTGTCATTTTTGCCTAATTGTAACATAAACACAAATTAACATATTATCAACTTACAAAAACAAAAATTAACATTATGTGGTTTTTACCATTGTCAACTATTGTAATATTAAATCTTGACTGTGAACGCAGTGTGCATAAATCTGTTAAAATAATAAATATTCCGGCTTTGATCTTTATTTTATTGACTTTTTTATCAATTGTTTACTATAATTACAGCGCGATGATGATTTTAGTTATTATTGGTGTTTGATTTTACTGGAAAATCAAAAGCAAGCTATAATACTATATAATATAAAAAAAATAATAGGTACAGTGTTGTGCAGGGGGGCGGGGGAGGTCGTGAATCTATATGAATTATTACAACCGAATGGATGAGATAAAAGGCAAACAGGTGGATACACATAGTAAAAAAAAATGTTGACTTCAGTATTTTGAAAACATTTTATACTTTATTACTATTATAACATGTGGCAGATAGCATTTATTCGTGCAACAACCAATGTAACAATCTACTAAGAAGTTTTTTTCATTTTAATCGACAACATTCGAGGGTGATACTAGGTTTATTTTTTTTACAACATAATCAGCAACATTTAATTGTACACTAATTATTATATAGTAGTAGGTTTTTATTTTAGTTTTATTACATGATTTTTTGTTTACATACTTAACAGGCTAGTTCCCGCTTACAAGTACAAACCAGTTTCCGGTTTAGGCAAGATAGGTACTAATCTAAATGGATTTTAAATAATTTATTTGATAAAAAAAAAAAAAAAAGAATTCTCAATACAAACAACAATCAAATAGCAAAAAGTATAATAAACAACATTTATAAATTCAAGATGACACCACACTTAGGTTAGGATGACAACCGAACTTGGGTGTAAGAGATTTAGATATACGAGTATTACTTATATAAGACAACTTGGGTCAATTTAAAAACGGTCAAATTTAATTCATAACAGTTTTAGATCGAACAAGTATATATATAAAAAAAAAAGTTGTAGGACGGATTGTTTGTTGCTTGTTTTATTGATACGTTAAATCTGATTTAGTTTCTAGCTACAATGCAAAATAATGATTATTGTTAATTATTAATAGGTTCGGAGTCCTCACGGAGGTGACAACATTGCGTTGTATGCCTTATTTAAACGTAAGAGGCATAGAATATATATATTGTTATTCATGTTTATATATCATTAAATTACATTTTACCTAAAAAAAAAAAAATTTTACCTCTAAAAACTATTTTCTACTAGGTAAGAGATAAATGTATACAATTATTTTTTCCAAATCGGTATCTAGTACATTTTGACAAACAGCAAAATCAATTTAAATACTAGTGTAAAAAAAAAAAAAATGTAAACAATTCATAAAGCGAGCAAAAAACATATATGTGAATTATTTGATTTGAATATTCTTTAAGCCAAAAACGTTTGTATTGTGTAATAGCCGAGAGTTGGTCTTAAATGAATCTTTGAAAATGACGCCATCATTATCAAAATGCATTGTACATCGACGACAAGCGTTTTAGGAAACAAATAATACGTTTTTTTTTTTTTAACAGGTATCGTGTTACTACAAATTTTATATTATATACAATTATTATAGTTTACCATTTAACGAATAGACAAATTTTTCATCATAAATGATTATTGCATAATAAAAAATTAATTTATATTATGTGTTGCGCTTAAAAAACGTAATTTGTTAGATTTGATATTTTTGTAAAATGTTTCAATTTCTGACTTGAGAGTAATTAAATACTATACCGAATAAGAATTTCAGGAAACAAATGAAATATAAAAAAAAAAACCTTACCGAATGCACTACTTAAATACAAAAGCCATCTTTATGTTTAAAAATGTAAAGATATAATATTAGAATAGTACGCGTAGCGTTAAAATGATCGAATTCATTTTTGAAAAAAAAATGCTGTTGTTGTCGGTTATGAGAATTTTAAGTTGACCGCGACATAAATATCGGCAAATGGATTCTGTCGCGCTCTATTAGTTATTTTTCGGTATACTATTAAACAAGAATTCTTTTATAGTCTCCGACATGAGGCCGCACATTATTTCGATTGTGTTTTTATTGCTGTCCTTTGTGGCTTTGGCCATTTTGTCGTCGGCTTTGGGCCGGTCGACCGGGTCGAAGATCACGCGGCCTATGGACAAGGCGGCTTGTTCCAGCTTGTCGGACAGATCGTTGATCTGGCCCGTCAGGTAATCGGCGTTCGTTATCAGGCTGGACGAGCTGAGCGTGTTCACCCAGTACTTGTTCCACAACAAGTCCAACAGACGGCGGTCCAGCGACGACTTGAAATAGTTGACTTCCAACGAATAATACTGATTGCAGTGTACGCCGAAATCGTCGATTTTGTTCAACGGTATCGTCTGGTATTCCGTGGGTACGTCGTTTGCCGGTTTGTAGCCCTGCGACAAAAATATAAATATATAGTAGGTATATATAGTAAATAGTAGTAGCATTGAGTATATATATTGTGTGGTACACTCAAAAGGTGGTGGTAGTGATTAATACAATATGTAATCATCACTATATATATATATATATATATATATATATATTGTGTGGTACACTCAAAGGGTGGTGGTAGTGATTAATACAATATGTAATCATCACTATGTGTTGTTGAAAACGACCACCCCACACGACAATGCGTAAAAACGACAACGACGACAAAAAACGTACCTTGGGGTATGTTCGGAATGCGCCCAAACAAACTTTGCCGGCCGATATGGTTCGCACCGGATCGATGACTATGGCCACAAATGGGTCTTGGAAGTTTTGATTCAACATTTGAGTGGAAACGTCAATGCCCGACAACCAACACCCGTAGCCGGGGTGACTGTGATACCAGCCGATTGCGTTTTCCAGTCGTCCGACCTGATACACCACATTTATTCAATTAAAAACACTTTAACTAGTACCACTAAACACTGTTATATAATTGTATTCAAAATAGTCATATATTTATTTATGACTATTTTGAATTTTTTATATCGGATAATCCGAATTTAATTGATTTCAACACAAACGTACAACTTTGGCCGATTCTATATAGGCAGTCATGTATTCGTAGGCTTGTGCCTGAGCATTGACCCGGGTTTCGGTTCCTTCGACGGGAAGCGCAAACGAATCCATCACGATCATTGTGTTGCCTTCTACTTTGCCGAGAAGAAGGCCCATTATTTCCAAAATGCCGCCGGACCGGGCGTGCATGACCATTTTGAGCAGAGCCAACGCGGATATTTTGATGTCTTTAAAGTAACACGGACTGTAAAAAAAAAAAAAAAACCAAAACAATCGGTATTAGCATAAAACAACTGTGGTGCCAGGTAGTAATACAAAATTCTGTGTATTTTACTATGCTATCGTGCTGCTTATTCATAGTAATAATATATCGATGCCGCTTATGAGAGATTATCAATATGTTTACAGTTCCGCATAAGAACACGTTTGGATTTTTACCGTCAAAAACCCACAAATCAATTCCCTCCCACACACCCCACAACGACTATAAGTTTAATTTTTTTAGCTTTCATTAGACAATTGGAAAAAAAAAACAAGTGTTATTCTAGAAAAAAAAAACCGAGTAACTGCACTTGTGTGTTTCAGTGGCAACGCATAGCATCGTCAGACGATAGACTACTAGAATTGTTTGTGGTGAAACAAACTTTACATTTTTAAATCATTTAGTTGATTTTCTACTATGAAAATTATCCAATATATATATAATATATAATTTCTGTATGCTATGACGGTATGATGGGAGGTTGGTTGTTTGTCTGCAATCAATCTCAGCCCGTTGTATACCAGTATTCTTTACATAAGTTGCTGCGCAACAAAAAGTAGGTTCAGAGATCACACACACAAAGATCAAGCACATACTCTTTTTCCCACGGTTTGGTTCTCAAAATGTCCTGTTGCTGTTGTTTGTCGTATTTGTAAATTTCATCGACCGTGTTCACAGTTTTTATGTTATTTTCCAATTCCCACGTCTTCTTCGCTATAGTCGCCTGAGAGTCCTTCGATGTGGACGCCATTTTAGGAAATGTGTACACTGTAAAGAAAGAAGAACAATAATATTATTATTATTATATTAACGTCGAAGGAGCATACGACGAGTATTTATGTTTTGCAACAAATGTGTATAACTCACAGCGTATTTTTAAACGTTTTGTCAGTCCAGTCAGCGCGTTCTATATGGAATAAAATTTAAAAAAAAAATTAAAAACATGAAAGTGAAAAAGCATAGTATGTTAGTTTATAACTACAATTTATGCATTGTATTTTAAAAAACACACATAAACATGTATACATACATTATATATATATATATATATATATATATATTTATATATTTAGATTGTTTATAATAATAGTAACACCCCATAAAATAGACTAATTTAATCTATTCTTGTGATAATACAATAATGATAATGGAAAATATATATTGTTTATCATACTGGTGGACTGATCGACCTTGTCGTGCACATTTGAGAAAATTGTGTGGACTGTGAATCCGTTGTAATTTGTAATATTTTTTTTTAATTGTCGGTATTGGATTTTAAGATAGCAATTTGTATTTATTAATTTATTTTATTATTATTTGTACATCACACAGCTGGTTACCTAACCGCGTGAGTCGGCGTTTGAAACGATACCGCACAAAATTGCCGATGCCCTAACTTGTTTTATGTTGAACTAACAAATGGGTAAATTACACTATTTACACACCTATTATTGTACTGAATAAATAAGAACAGTCCAGACACAAGTGGGTAGTTTTCATACAACGTGAAAAGTTTTGCCATCGAATATAATAATATTATATTGTACGATATACTCGATGGTGTTGCCAAAGACAGATAGGGTGGTCACAACAAATTAGCCTTCGGAATAGGGCAAAAAAAAAAAAAAATTAAATGGCAAATACACAATGTTTAATAATAATATATTTATACATTATACTATTTTGTACAGTACAAAATATGTACATATTAAATCGCCATCGACACGAAAAAATGTCCTACGTGCCCAACCCATAGTTGTTGGGGCTTTGAAACAACCCCGGATTAACAAAAAAAAAAAACAAATGATCTATACCAAAATATTATTTTAATCTCCTACGTGCTTTTTAGCATAAATTAAAAATAAAGCCTGTCAAGTGTTACCCACAACGAATGTTTAAAACTAAATAAATTTTCCATTTTTCCCCCTACATTTTCCTATGTGATAAAAAATAGGGTGCGAATATTTTTTTTAAAAAAATACTACTTAAATATTTATCACAGATATTCTGTTTTCAAAAAAAGTGGTACAACCACTGTGGTTGTATATTTTTTTTGTTAAATTGTTAATTTTTTTGTTTTTTTAATCGTGTTTTCTGAAAAATCGAATGATTAGCCAACACGAGAGGCTGCTTCGAGAACAAAGAAATCGAGGGGATTCTTCTGTACACCCCGCGGGGTAGTCATGGTAAGTGGTGTAAGTGGTGGTGGTGACACTGTGAACTACAACAACACAATGGCGCGTCTCCAGCTGGTTCGGGGAGGGGTTGGTATTTTAACCCTGGCATTGGCTAAACGACGACCTTTGCGTACACCACCACCCCACAAGCCTGATCAGCTGTTAGCAACTGCTGTCCAGTGCCAACCCTTTTGTTTAATAAAAGTGAGAATTTCCAGTGTGAACCGGAATTGATTTGGTAACTATATACCTATATACACTAGTAGTACTAATGTATAGATTCATCTCGACAGATGCTGTCAAGGTCAAAGAAATATTTTCCAGTCATTCCTCCTGTACTCTCAATACTTTAAGGGAGTAAAATAATATTAAAAATCTTTGTCGAGCCGTACAATTTTTGCACGATGGGCTGCAGCGTTTGGAGCAAAGAAAATTCACTGTCGTCGTTTGAAGTCGGTCGATTATTTTTTTTATTATGCGAATGGTACCCAAATGTATATATATATATATACATATTATATCCCTTCACTGCATGAATTTTTTTTTTAACCAGATGCTATAAATGTACTTAATACTACTTTAAAAAAATAAAAATACATTTTTTTGAGTTTTGGTTTCATGGAAAACGCTAATTAAAGAATTGTTCCAAATATGGAACATTGTGCAGTTAAGGGATATACTAAATTTGGGCATCATATTATTATTACCTATTATTATTAGTATACTAGCCCCATCATGTTGATATTTTATTTTATTACTATTATTATTATACTTAGGTTATCAACATAGACGTCAAGGGCAATGAGCGCTTTTACGGCCGGATGGAAATAACGCCATACAACATGGTGTTCAACCGTGACGACAGCGGACGACAGATCGTGTGGCCGTTGTGTACGATCAAAAAGTATGGCCACGAATATTCAATATTCTACTTACAAGCGGGACGCGTATCTCCCAGCGGCCAAGGGGTGTTTGCGTTCAAAACTAAAAACGCCAGGGGTTTGTTTGACGCCGTCAAACGACAAACGGAGGTACACCTATAGAGCATAGCAAATAACAAATTAACAACACTGATGGTTAGGACGTTATTATGATAATAATGTAATTTAATCCGCTCTAGTAAATCATCCGTCATCCATTTTGAATTAGAGACAGATGAAAGTTTTTAATTTTTTTTTAATTTTTTATTTGCAATAAACGCGGCCCCACCACCAGCCTTGCAACGCTGCTGTGTTATAATAATAATAATTATTGCGGTCGCTTTCTAACCACAAAACTAATATCACCTAACGGTTAGCGGCAACAATTTGTCTAATCTAATCATCTAATACATATATTTTTTTTTTTAGTCCGGCCAATTCGTTAAAAGACAAAAAAAACTGTTGTCTAAGGCTCGCGTCAGTTCAAAACGATCGCATACAACGAGCGGCGGCTCTACACAAAACGATTACGATGAGATTGCATTTGGCGGTTCAATAAGAAGTCTCGGAGAGTTCAACAACATCATCAACGACAACAATAATAATAATAGTAACAATGATAGTGGATCGTCGTCGTTTGACCTCAACATACAATCGCTTGGTGCGGAATCGCCAGAAATCTACATGAACACAAACGAAAATCTAGAAGTACCGTACACCGAAGTGGAAATTGTGGTTCGTGGTCCTCCTGCTGCTAAAAACAAAAGTCAATCGTCGTCGTCTACTCGCCCGAAGGACACACCGAATTATACGACTATCGACTTTGCTCGTACAATGCAGTTAAGCCGAAACATGTTGAAAAGCGTCGACGACACTGGAATAAGGAGAACCAGACACGATACGAACGGCAGCACGCTTAGTGTTGAAAATGAATAAAAGAAAAAACTTTGCATACAAACACACGCAAATCACGATGATTTGTTGTTAATGCAAAGTTATGATTAGTATAACACATAGGTGAACTAGTGAATTAATCGTTTTAGTCATAACATAGGTACTCTAGTGAATTAATCGTACTTAGTCGTAATAGTAGATTTGCCATTATGTCGGTAGTGACAAAATAAAAAAATGTATCCAATGATCTCAGCTTGTTACACACACACACCAAAGCATAGGTTAAATATATTTGTTTCGCTTATTAATTTATATAATATTGTTGTAATTTATATTATAATAAGATTGCTATGCGGTTAACTACAAAATTTTAGAACATCAAAACTATTCTATTCATTTAAGATTATTGTTATTGCTTGTATTATTATTAATAAGATTATAATAGCATGTTACAGAGAGAGCTTGTCGTGACTGAAACTGTGTTTGAGTAGTCAGATAAGAAATACAAATAAAAAGCTAGTTATTAATTATACGGGTTGCTTTATCATTTCATTCAGTTAAGTAACTTTGTATGCAAGTTAATGAGCAAAAAAAATTATAATTAATCACAAATAACCTTCTAGACTTTGCAACAAAATATACATAATATAAAATTGCATTTAGCTTTTATCAGGAATTTAGAAAATATTTATCAAGTTTTACAAAAAGTATCTCAATATTTTTTATCGAAGACGGTTAGCTTTTATTGTAGTGTGGTGGAGTAGTAGAGTATTGTAGTATTTATTGCATTTTACACGGCATACGAAATGCAACGGAAGACATTGCCGTACTTCATTTGAAAGCTAAACAACAATAAATGTTTTAAGAATATATATTTTTTTTATTAAAAGCTCAATAGCAGACTGCTAATGATTATATTAATGTTTGACACAATATTCGTTTCTGTTAGGCTTTCAGAGTTTCGCAAAACTGAAATTTGTACTAAAGTGGTATAGGTATGAACAGTATCGTTTCCAATTTCGATGTTTGTTTCTTTGACAAAATCGGCCATATAATTTTTATATGTCAAAACCAAGAGCGATGTAAATATGTTTTGTATAAAAAAAATACTGTTACTTGGTGCTCAAATATTTCCTCTCGACTTGGCGGAATAGGCGCAAAAAAAACCCCAATGTTCTAGCAATTAAGGGTGCCCTCGGATAAAATTGAGAAAGAAAAACATGGGCCTAGCAATTAACAACTTGCCTATAATCACAAAGTTGTTTTCGCGTCTTATGTACAATTTTTAATAAGCCCATTGACTGCGGTTATAATTAACATGGCATGTTTGTGCAGTACACTTAACCAGAACCAGTACCCAATGTTCAGAATCTCAATGCAAGAAGAAGACGATATTGTGCGAGCACAAAATTTAACATTTTCATACTATATTATTTTATACTGTTTAAGGCTGGTCATTCTGGTTTATTGCTGGGATTTGAGTTGTTATTATTTTAATTACTATGCTAGTAATATGTTTACTCGATAGTACCATGGTCCGGACACAATAAGACGAGGAGTATCATGGTGTGGTATTTGGTAAATTGATATGCCAATCGACCAAGAGAGTCGAACCATGGCCTGGAACGAGGTAAATTTACTAAATAAGAGGTCTGTAAAATAAATGGAAAAAAAAAAGACCTGTTTATTACCTATTGTCTTATTGGAAGGTACGGAGGAAATTTTATAGCTAAAAACGTTCAACAACATAATTGCCAACGTTTACACAGTGTTGAAACTTGATAGCGCTAAACAATGCTTTTTAAGCAACCTTTGATTATCGCATACATAGTGAATAATCACTGCAATTTAAGTAATTAAAAACTGTATCGGTATATTTTGACAAGCATCAGAGTTAAGTTTCGAACATGTCACATGTTCATACACATACACGTTGCGACTATTGAAAATGGTTAAACGTTTGCAAACTACTACTACTACTACTACCAAACTGCGTTTGGCTAACAAACTTCTACTATGTCATAATCAGCGAACGTAGCCAACGCTCGAATTTTTGTCATCTTACAGAACATCTAGAATACACAGCAGCTGGTGTGTGTGTGTGCAGTGTAGATGAACAAATAACATTTACATAATAATATAGACTTTAGTTTGTACGTACTAATGCGGCCGACTAAACGGCATAATAATGGATTAATGAATATCCCGAGACACAACACTCGTTGGCAAAACTGGTCGTTTTGAGGGCAACGTTAGCAGTGCCGTGTGTTTGTGTTTTTTTGGCTAAACTCTAATGACCCAAGGCCGATTGGCATTGTTCCTTAATCTGTTAAATCTGTTTACAATATTATGTATTTACAAACCCCATAAACATCAAATTAAACGAATATTATTAGGTATACTTGAATGTACACACACGTACACGAGTAGATGTCTATCTCATTATCATCGGTGTGGACAGTGGTTGTTTGCCGCAAATCAAATGCCGCCGTTCGCCGCAAAGCTGAAGCCAAAACACAAACGTTTGTCACGCGATAAACAGACACACTATAATATACGACGACGACAGTATCGAAATAGTAGTAATTACTAATTAGTCGGTATTTACACTGGATACAAAAAAATTATAATATATTTCACGCGTTATGAATCCGTTCAACACAATGAATATTGTTTTTTTAACAAAAATGTTTACCTCCACCGGTCACCCGACAATAATGGTTAATGTGGTCGTGTGCACTTGATCGGCTATCCGCTTTACCTTCATCGAACAGCAGCGGCTATACACAATGGTGGTTATCACGCGGGTTGGTGGACGTACCGCACAATGGATATTTTCGTCTATTGTGTGCATGTACCACAGCTTCATCCACCTCCTAACTTTGGTCACCAACCGCGGTTCATGAGTGGTAACCATGGTGCAAAGTTTAGCTGCACATTGCCCATAGCCGTGATAACGCGCATAGTATGTGATAACGTGCCAATAATCCCCCATTGATTGTTTTTGGTCACCTCGGTCAGAATCCGTCAAATGTGTGAATTATTGTGAATAGGTACGATAATATATTTTCGAATAATATTATAGTAATGCGACAAGTACCACCGACGAGTACCGTGTATTATTATTGTTTATAGTGTTGGCCGTTGTCGAGTATAGTTTATAGCGACGGTTAATGCGCGACCAAAAATCCAAAACGTTTTTTTGCCAACAAGACGCGTTGTAGTGTTACCTAGGCAGTGCGTTTGCGCTCTCGACCATTGGTTTTTGCCCATGACTGTCAATAACTGCGCGCTAGACAACGAGTAGAGACTTATCAAGCTATTTGTCAATATAATAATAATCCGTCAACCGAATCCGACCGTCAAAATCGAAAAAGATAACGATGGGAGCAGCGTCATTGGCGGTACTGGTCATCGTGTGCTGCGTGGTAGCGGCACAACTGCCGGAGGAACCGCAACAAGAGCTACTCCATCTGGACAAGGCGCCTCGTCACGAGTTACGCGTGCTCTACTGGTACGTTGCTGCAATTATGATTTCTATACTTCTGAAATATTGCAATACAGCTTTGGACAGAGCGAATGTGCTCATGCCCCAGGACGTACACACTTTAGGAAGGAACGTGCAAATGCTATATTTTATGCTTCATTGTCCATCGTGAACGATCGCTACTACACTGTAATACTGTACACCAGTGGTATTCAAACTTTTTCATCCCACTGTGTTGTATTCACACAGCTGTCAAATTATTGATTACCCACTACTATGGTGCACGACGTGAATCCATAACGTCCACGGGTCACGCGACGCACAGTTTGAATACCTCTGCTGCTATACACTGTATTATTAATATCCTGTATCATGTTCTATCGTTTGTATTGTTTTTCATTTGTTTGCCTTTTTACGAGGAAAATAATATTTCCAATACAAATCATCAAAAACCTTGTCATCATACCTAATTTATATAATCATCAATGAATACTTGGATAGGTATTTTTGTGTAATATCCTGCAATTGACTAACAAAACTTAATGAATTAATTGTTGTTTTTTTTTTCCATTTTACACAGCCGTTCTTGTGGATATCGGCAAGCGTTTGAACAATATGAAAAGATGTTGCACGACAAGTATCCGGGAGTTCTGAAAATCGTTGGTGAAGTACACGACTCTTCGATGATTTCCTTGTTGATAGCCCGACTGCTGGTAAATAAAGCGTTTATACCTATTGTGTTTTATTTACAAAAATATAGATTCGTTTTCCAGAAACGACTCGTTAATGTTGAAAACTGTGACATTAAAAATACTATATAATTTAGATAACAATATCATATGTTAGGCTATTGTTATTTTTTTATATTATGCTTAATGAAATAATGTTTTCGCCACAGGGTCTGATCAAAATGATGTTGGTAGTGGTGATTGGTAGCGGAAAATGGGATGCGATGATGGGATGGTTCAGGCGGCGTTTGCGTCAACACTTTGAAGGAACGGGCGCGGCCCAAAGAAGACGTCTGAGCGATCAGCCTGCCGAAGCGAATCCAGAACTGCAGCCCGCTACCGGATGGCGTCGATGGTGCAACAGTAACAGGTGGACAGCTTGCGTGGCTATTTACGCTGGATGCGCCGCCATTGAAACGGCTTGTGTGGCTACAGGGGCGTTCGAAATGTTTCTAGACGGTAAGTCCTGTGTGTAGACGACTAAACTAACTCGCAAAGACACTAACACGTTAGTAGTGTTTGTATTTGAAACTGAAATGGTAGCGGTAATGATGTTATTTTACGAGTGAGCAGACAAATGCGAACAGACAAGCTTAGGGTGGTCGTAGTAGTTGTGAAAGGTTATTATAATTTATTTATTTATATATTCTTAATATGTATGTAAATTAAAAAGGAATATAGCGGCTGCTGTTGTCTACATTAGAATTGTCGTGTTTTTCTATTCGCCTCTCATGTTTTTTTTTTTAAATTAGGCATTTATTATTGAAATACGATTATTATTCAAACGCCAATCTGTATATTATCCATAATAGTACACACAGATTGTAAAATATTATGATGAAATATGTTGTATACAATTTATTTTGTTGTATACAACATATATGGTACAATAATAATCATTACAATACACACACATTGCCATATTAAAATCTATGTGTAAACGACGTTTAAAATATATTCTAATATGTTTGCCGTTTGTTGTTGAACAGAGATGCCAGTGTGGTCGAAGCTGGAATCGGGCAGAGCACCACAGCCGGCCGAGCTCATAGCCATTATAGACTCTCACTTGGCCATGATACGGGCAAGGTAAACGCGGTCCGTGTAATACGATCGACGAACAACAATCGGGGTGGCCGGAGCAGCGCAGTAGCAATGCGACAAACGACAACAACTGCCAACGAGACGTTATTTTTATTGTTGTTATTTTGAACAACCTTTTGAATTCCTTCTTTGCTTATAAATCTTAATTTCTTGTGTGTCCATACTCTAGTTTATTTCAAGTATCCCGTATTTATACTTATTGTTTGTTTTTTTTTTTTTAATTGGCGTGTTTTCAAATATTTGCAACATTTTTTTTTTTATATATATATATGTATTAAACCATATCTCACCATTTGTAATTGTTAACGTTTTTCATCGATAGTCACCTGTATTATATGACGTACACATCCGGACGGTAGTTTACTCTGTTTGTAAAATAATTTCAAATTAGATTCGAGGAAAACTATTAATCGCACTAAAGCTTTTTTCTGTTTAAAATATGACCAATAGTAGTATAAAAAATAAAGCAATTGCTGTTATTAAATCCACAAAAATGTTTGTTTTAAACACGTGCAATTTGCAGTTTTACACATTATGTACTATTTAATTACGATAAATCCCACGAGTGACTGTAACTTTAATTTTTTTAAATAAACATTTGTCTATAAAAAAAAAAAAAATAGCCTATTACAAAACATTGAAACACTTATGGGTTACCTGACAATTTAATATTTTAAATGAAATGATACCACTAGAGACTAATTTTAGCCCAATTAAAACAGCTCTAAGTTCGCCGTTCATCTGCAAATTCGGCAAAACCGATTGTGTTTAATAAATCAAATTGTACTTGACGTATGTATTGCATCTATAATGCAGGGGAATTTCAGAATAGACTAAATTAATTTAATCTATTCTGTGGCGGGACCAAAATAACTAGGTCATAGTTTATTGTTTTAGCCAAGCTACTCGTTCTATATTCGTATTTACTATGATATACAGTACCAATGGGCAAATTATGGTTTAGTTGCGTTACACAATTGGAGTGTCTAATTGAAAGGGAAGGTTAAAATCATTAACAGCTGTTCTCACACTAGATTCACTTGGACGTTTAATTTCATAGTTCCGTTTTTCATTTTTAATCTAGTCAATTTGTTGTTGAATCCCAATTAAATAGATTAGATAGTTTTTAGGGAGCCGCTTTGCCACATCCTCTCTGTATAGTATAATATAATCTCATTCGGTATGATTTTCATTGAGCATACGACGATAATAATAATAATACAAATCTGTTTAATTATTTTTCTTATAAAGAAAGTGAGTCAAAGCATACTCCCTAAAAACTATCTTAATTTTTAGACAGGTATTCTTTTATTTAAAAGGTCTACCTACAGCGAACAAATTAAAGGGGGATAGTATTTCAAGCTGATCGTCAGCTTTCCAATGCGACATGTACAAAGTAGATAGCTTGAAAATTTAAGGAATTGTTCGTTTAATACTAAAACATAGAAATTTACTGAAGTACTGAACCACCTGTCAAATTTGTAAAAATACATCATACAACATTTTTAATGTTTTTTGAGTACTCTGTGGACATGCCCTAGGATGAAGAGCGCAAAAAAATAATGAATTGACACAAGCTATATATACAAAAAATTATATATTTTTACTGTTATGTAAGTTTTGTTAGTTCATTAGTCGTATACGCTCGAGTTTAAAATAGACGATAACAAGTGGTGTATAAGGACGATTATTTGTGCGTGACGAGACGATTACAAGAAATGTCCACACTCGATTAAATGTTGTGTATTATGTGTTATAAATTAATAATTATAAAGAACGACGCTCAAATAGTCGGTAAGAAAGTTACAAATTTTAAGATAAAAATTCACAGATTTTATATTGTATACTTGGCAAAAATGTTTACATTTAGTTAACACTACACAAACCAATGTTTGTATCTTATTCTTAGAATAAAAAATTACTTTAAACGTTATAAAGTTGTTTGTTATTAAAAATTTACTATTAACTACTAACTAGTGTAAAAAGAAAAACAACTTTTTTTCAAGTGTTGTTTTGATTAAGATTTTGCGTTATCCTCGTCCATGTCTTCATTTTCGTCGTCCACCATCCGAATGTAAAGTATGTTATTGCACCTGAAATCCAAGAAATATAATAACCGTTGCAATATGTTGAACCATATTGAACCATATTTAACAAAATAAATAAAAACCGTCCATTAGGAAGACCAAGGACCCGATGGGTGGATGTTATAGCTCAAGATATCAAAAACATAGAAGAAGAGTCATCTTTTGACGACGCATACGATAGAGAGAAATGGAGAGGTTTTGTGATGGCAGCGATGGCACTTAATGGGCCGATAAGCTGAGGAAGAAGAAGAAGAAGAAGAAGAAGAATATGTTGAACCAAGTAAGATTTGTGTATTGCAAACTTACCGGACCATGATTTCACCGAGAAGAGCCGGTTCACAACCGTCAACAAACTCTGTGGCACTGGCCAATTGTATGTTCATGTAGCTGTCGGTGGACACGAGGAAACCTTTATATTCGTGACCCCATTTCAATTTGACTATGACAGTTTTCCCCATTAACCCGTTTAAGTAGGGTTTGGGGTTAATTGGCATTGACATCATTTTGGACATCGAAACAGAAACAGATTGTGTTTATTAGATTATTAACTACAGCACAGAATATAATTTTATAAAATATAATATAGTTTATTCTGTGATTTAACCGTCACAATATTGTCAGTGGTCACTATTAAGATTTAAGAATAAAAATTAAAATAATAACAATTTTAAATTTACAAAGGCAATACAGATTACAGCCGGTCGGTCAGGCCGGTTAGTCACCATGACAACAATTGTTGACAACAACCGAGTTAAGCAGTAGGGCCAGATCAAATTAACAGTTTAACCATTTATGGTATCATCGTTATTCTACAGTCAGTGCTGCCATAAATATAAATGTAAAAATTCTTTATTTCGTCGTACTGTTGCACCTACTGTTTACCTCAGAAATCATGGCCGACTATCAGCTGTTATTGGCCCACCGCCCAGAAGACGCAGTGTCCACTCCAGCTGAAATAGCTATTATATTATAGAACAGCTACAACTATACCCATTGAGTATAATATATTGTATATTATAATACAATAAAACACACTCAATGCTATAAATATTTGTTAAAAAAATAAAAATAAAAAACGCCACTCGCCCGAACTATAAAGTACGCTGGTGAGATAAGACGCGATAAAATAAATCATTTTTCGTATAAATTGGTATTTTTCGAGCACATACTTCTATACTAGTAAGTAGTATTTAATATAGAAGTCTGTGATTTCGAGTGTATAACAAAACTGTAGAAATTTGGTTTATTTCACGTTTAGAACTATACTCAATATTATAGGCGTGATTGTCGAATAAATGAGATATTATGAATTATCAGTCTTGTTGAGTTTCCTTATCAAACCAAGCTTTTATTTTACCTATAATTGTATTTTATACATTTTTAGATCAGCTTAAAGTAAGTAATGATGGATTATAGAGGTGTGAAGACATATTAAATAACACATTTTCAGTTATACTTATACCTATTTAATATATATATATATATATATCAGTAAAATAATTTGTATCGAAAAATATACCGATATACCTATACATATGATATACGAATAATTTTAGTGTAAACTTTACTGACGCTTATCTACTAAACTTACATAAAAAATGTTGATATATTTTTTAATTGAAAATATACCAATATGTTATACGTATTTTATAAGAATATTTTTAGGTTAAATTTCTATTTAGTTTACACCAAAAATATAAGTACATAGCATTTTAACGGAAAATAAACCAATGTAAATCAATTATATAATATAATATTAGTAAAAATTCGTCAAGCCATTCAAATAATAGCCTATTAGGTTTATCTGGAAGTTCGTGTGTCAGTTCATCAGTAAAAATATCCAAATCACACAATGGTATAAATACTAAAGCAGTAGGTAATGAGTTTTTGAAGAAAAACAAAATTTTACTTATTATTGTAGTTTATACTTCGACAATAAATGTAACTCTAATTTCTTCAGAAAATTTTGGCATAGATGAAAATAACATCCAAAATATTTACATTTTTTAATTACTTTTTGTTTTGCTGTTATGCCACCAAGCTCGAAGTAACAACCAATTGGTGTTGGTTTAAGAATTCATTAATCATATTAAATAATTGTTCGTACGTTTGTTGTTTTTTGATGGTTAGGTGTTAGTGCATACATTGCAGGATTTACTTCCCCTGAAAATCGGCTAATATAATACAAACTTGACAAAATAGAATAGGGACAGCTTCGAATGTTCCATCCGTACACCAAACTGCCGAATCTTTTAATAACTTAAGACCAAATATAAGATTGGGGCCACTATCGGTCGATAAAAATGTTTCATTTATTAAATTGCCTAAACTATATTTAAAACTTACATGTGTATATAATTAATTAAAATTCTTTTATTTATCACCGAAACGGAAATAATCATTATTTATTTCAACGTCGGCGCCATAATGTCCCACCCACCAAAATAGTTTATACTATAAAAACAAATGACAAAGTTTGAACGTTGTTTTGTCGGTATAAAAATAAATTATTTTATTATGTAACTATCCTGCAGAGCCTCCGCCAATAAGGATTTTTTTGTTTTAAAGTAGCTCTTCGCTTTCCTCAAGTAGGTTAAGTAGGTAAGCAACCTTAAGCATATTATAAAGTTTGCTTTAAGTATTAAAGCATATTACAATAAACAATTTCTTCTTATTATTATTATTGTTGTTTTTTTTGAAAACTGGGCTTTGTCAGAGATATTTATTTAAAAATATTATTTGATTTGAATAATGAATTTATGTCAACATATTTAAACAGGAAATTAAAAAACAAAACTCTTTTATAAAATGAAATAAAAATCATAAATTATAACAAAAAAAAAAAACAAGTTCAGTGGGGTCGGGGCATAGTGGGGATGGAGAGGGCACGGGTGTACAGAAATTATTATAGCTGAAAGTGATAAGATCACTTTTAAATAAACACTTCGATGCGAATCTGTAGGTAGTACGTATAAACCACATATAGTAACCTAAAAACATACTACAGTCAAAGTGTAATTTTCCCTTATTTTTTGGTTTTTTCTAAATAAAAAAAAATGTTTGACTACAGATTAACGAAGAAATTGTATATGTTATAGCCCCATTCTAGATCTACCTTTGGTCTAACTTTCATACATAAACGGATAAACCCCTAAAACTTTGGATGAAAAAGCGAAAGAAAGAACATTATAATGGTTTAGGTTGTCAACGTTTGTTAGTAGTATCTTAAAAATATGAATCTGTGTCTTAAGAATGTTCTATACAAATTTGGAACTAATTAAACTATTTTGAAAAAAAGATATGGAGCGCCGTGATTTTAAGTTGGAAAAATGTAAAACTTTCGGTTATTTTTCTGGATTTTAACGGGAAAGAGATGAACTTTTTTTAATTTTTGGTCCAATAAAGTACCTTACAGGTACGATTTCTGATCTTAACAGCTGCTACACGAAGAAATCGGTTCGTTGTCTTAAAAGATATCGTAGGTACAGACACAAACACATCATTGTAAAAACAATAAAGTATCAGCTATCGCATCGAAGCCAAATCTCTAAAAACACATTTATTTAAAAAATAATAGCCCGCCATTATGCACGGACGGATTTTTTTTAAGTACAAAAGTGCTAAGTTTTTTTTTTGAATTCGACAAAAGAATCCGGTCGTGCGTACAGATTTATGGGAATTCCGTTAAATTGGATATCGTTCGGGTTTAATCCGTATTTGGCCGGCCCAAATTCACACCGAGCGGATTTATTTATAGTCAATGTGACTATAAATAAATCCTCGTGAATAAATAGCTATAGGTACGCTATAAATATTATGCACACATGTTATCTAAATCTAGAGTATAAATTATTCGAAATGGGTAGCAACCGAGAAAACCGCCGCGCACGGTTCAAATCCACGACGGTCATCAAACAAAATTCGCAACCCACAAGGCTCGAATGCAAATATCCCGTCGGCCGGGCAACGAGGCCGAAAAGTGCGTGCAAAGCCTACAGCAGCACAGCCCAGATCACCTTGAAGGTATTGATTTCCCCTCGTACTCGCCGCCGTCGTGCCCGTCGCCGACGCGCAAGTTGTGATGTTATAATTTAATATTATTATTACAACAGCGCCTGTCAGAATAAATTATAATTATTCGTGCCCGGAGAGTTCGCAGACTCTCGGCTCCCTCCCTAGTGCGGCGGTGCGCCGCCCGGTCCAAACCCCTACGTTCGACCGAACGCCATTTCAAGAGAATGTGATAATTATAATAATAATAATAATAATAATAATATTATAGTCACCGCCGGCAGTGATGCCAACGGCCGGGCATAACCGGAAAATCTTTATGAAAAAACATTAAATGCTGACTCGAGAACGGTTGGACCGATTTGGCTCATTTTTTTTTTTTTAAATGTTCATAATAACGTCCAAATAAGGTTTTGCGGTAAGAAAAATAGGAAAAAGTGCCCGGAAAAACTGAGTGCTTTTTTCCATGGGAATTTTTTATAACCTCCTACGACTGTATGCATGAATTTGAGTAATTCTGTTTTTATTTTGTTCGTTATGGCGCTGGAAATATTTTCAGCATATGAACTTTCGGAACAATTTTACAAAGGCAAGTCAGAAAATTCGGACAAGATGCAAAAATTCATAATTTTCTCGATCATAACCGCTGACGATAGGAACGACATATTTGGTTAATTATTTTTTATCATTTTCATGTCTTAGCTCGGGCACATAACCGAAAAACTGTCACGAAAGCCTTGTTCCATAAAAACCGATCACGAAAACTGTCACGCTGTTATCTGATAAGAGAAAAGAGATTAGAGATGAGGGATGAGGATGGGATTAATTAAGCGTAATGATAATTCTAGGAGAAGAAGATAGGGGGTAAGAGATAGGAGATACGATATAGGGGATAAGACATAATAGATAAGAGATTAGAGATGTGGGATGGGGATGAATTATGTGTTGTTCACAACGGTCCAACTATAACTAAAAAATAAAATCAATAATTTAACAGGTAATATTCCCTATGAATTGTTTTAGGTCAGATATTATGAAAACACTAAAATATTAGCCAGAAACTTGATATGTTTACTAGCCATCTTAGATACTAGCTTGTTACTGCTTGTTAATATACTATTTCATTATCTATAATTCCACTACTACTCTAAATTTATTCGGTACTTCAACGAGACGTGAAAATGCTTCGTGGTTGCGGACTCGTCTGAAAAATGTTATGTTTTGTTCGTTATGATGAAAAAAGAGAAATTTGGAAAACCTTAAAATTGGAATAATTAAAATAAAATTACAATTGTTTTTACATCGAGTGTCGTGATAAAGGTTTAGGTGTATAATTTGTGGGTACTTTGTTGCAATCGTATTTATTTAGCGGAGCCAAGTCGGGTACATGGGCAGCTAGTATTATTATAAATCCGCCTAACAACGTCGTGCTCCATTCGAGTTATTTTGGAAAATAACCGCAATTTAGAAAATTTTTATTTTTATGCCAAAACCGAAAAGTACATACCAACAATTGTTTTACCATATTTTACTATAGGACTCTTGGTAATTCGGTCAGATATCAGATATTATCAGGGTACCGCCAGATTAACAAAAACGCCGTATTAGGGGAGTTTCATTAAAAAAAAAACAAATTTTAATAGAAAAGCCAATGTTTATTATTTATTTG